CGCCGCCGCAGTCGCTGCTGAGCGCGGGTCACGTGGTGAAGGAGCGGTGGCGAGTGGTGCGGCGTCTGGGCGGCGGCGGCTTCGGCGAGATCTTCGAGTGCGTGGATCTGTCGACCCAACAGTTGGTCGCTCTGAAGGTGGAGTCGACGTCGCAACAGAAACAGGTCTTTGGTCTGCATGTGTGGCCTCTTCAGTGGTCGACTCTCCCGTCACACCCCCTCTACTCCACCCGCAGGTGCTCAAGATGGAGGTGGCGGTGCTGAAGAAGCTGCAGACGCAGTCGCAGAACGTGTGCCGTTTCATCGGCTGCGGACGCAACGAGCGCTTCAACTATTGCGTCATGACTTTGTTGGGCAGGAATTTGGCCGAATTGCGGCGCTCTGTCCAACACATCCACCAGAAGCCCGCCTTCTCGCTCTCCACAGCCCTCCGATTGGCGCAACAGATTCTTCACTGCATTCAATCCATTCATTCCATTGGTTTCCTCCACAGAGACAGTGAGTGACGGCGCGCCCAATGCCACCAATCGCTGACCAGTGTTTCAATTGCAGTCAAACCGTCGAACTTCGCGATCGGCCGCTCGGAAGCGACGGCCAAACGGGTCTTTATGCTGGACTTCGGTCTCGCGCGACAGTACATCATCTCCAACACCAACGAAGTGCGTCCGCCGCGCGTCGCCGCCGGCTTCCGCGGAACCGTTCGCTACGCGTGAGTTCTGACGTCACTTCGTGTCCACTCTGACGTCACTGCCGTCTGTCCACAGGTCGGTGAACGCGCACAAGAACCGCGAGATGGGGCGACACGACGACCTCTGGTCCCTCTTCTACGTTCTCATAGAAATGGTCAACGGATCGCTTCCGTGGCGTAAAGTCAAGGACAAGGACTCCGTGGGACTCATGAAGAGCTCTTTCGACCACAAACTCCTTCTCAAGCATTTGCCGCAAGACTTCCGCCAATTCCTCGAACACATAGAGTCTCTTCAATATCTCGATTCTCCCAATTATGCGCTCCTGTATGTCGTCTATCGACTCTTACGTCCCTTGAGCTCACCTCCCGTTCCCTCTCCGCAGGAACTCCATCTTCGAGCGCGCGATTCGGCGCCGCGGCGTCAAAGCGGACGATCCGTACGACTGGGAGTTGTTGCGCGCGAACGCCGACCTCAACGCCGAACTCCACGAGACGTCTGTCGGCTACTATTCGGACGCAAACGCCGTCAACGCCGACAAAGACAAAGCCGCCGCCGCGCACACGCCCGTCCTCTCGGGCCACGCCCTCTCCCAGGAGAACGCGAAGGAGGCGCCTCCCAGTGCCCGGAGGACGACCTCCTCGGAGGCGGTGGTGACGTCACCGCCGTCGGCGACCAATCGGCAGTCGGTGTTCGACCCGAAGGCCGACTTCTCGCAAATGACGCAAATGAACGCATGCGCGGACGAGCTGTCGGTTCGGCCGCAAAACGCGCGCGAACTGCAGGACTGCCGCCGAAACGTCACGCAATACTGCGTCTCGTGAGTGGACGCCTCTGACAGCCAATCACTGATCGCTTCTCTCTTTCGCAGGAATTTGTGGGAAAAGAGCGTCGCTTTGAATGACGCCGACGATGACGCCCAAGACATCGATTTGGACGACAGGCGCGAGGCGGCGCCCGAGGAGGGGGTGGGAGGTGGCGGCGAACCCCCCGAACGCCGCTTCTCCTCCAATACGTATCCGATTTGCAAACATTTGTTAGGATTTCGTTCTCAAAGTCTCACAGAATTGAAGTTCTTTTCCAACGATTTGTGTTTCGAGAAAAAGTCTTTCAAAAAACCCATTCTTTCGAAGAGTTTTCCGCAAATGCTTCCGAAGAACTGCTTCTTGTGGACATCGGTGGACAACTTGTGTCTCATCTCTAGTCACATCCGACCGCAAACGCCGACTCAAGCGCTGGAACCGCTCTTGGAAAGCGTCGCGCGAATCAGAAAACGATTCTTTCGATAATTTTGTCTCAATTTTTAGCAATAAATCATTATTTATTCGCAAAACGGCTTTCCTTTCCTCCCTTTCCTCACTCGCAGCCGTCGCGACACTCCATCCGCGTCCGGTCGCACGCGAACATCACCGTCGGGTTGCCGTCCATTATGGCGTCTGCGGAGTAGAGGTGTTAGAAACACAAGTAAACGGAAGTAAAGACTGACCGGAAATGCGGTTTTCGGCCAAACATTGCATCCATTGTTGATTACAAGACTCGATGCAAAAGAACGTCAAAACGACGGCCACAGAGAGCGCGAGCCAACATAACAACGATTTGTTCAACGAAAGCATTGTTTCGCACTTTTGTCGCGATTTTTGTCGCTTTTATGCCTTCTTTTGACCCCTTTTTCCACTAATCCCTTAATCCCTAATCTCTTAATCCGTTTCGCGGATCCAAAATGGCCGCCAATGAGAGCGTGAACTCAAGAATTGGGTTTCGTTTCAGAAAAACAACTGTTTTTTGAATAAAATGTTTGAAACAAAAGAACTGTTTTTCAAAATGTTTTTCTTTTCAAAAATAAAACATTTGTCGAAACGAGAGATCAATAAACCCCGAAAACCGAACGAATACTTGTTCCCCACTCACGCCTCCCTCCGCCCCCTCCGTGCACCCCTCCGCAGTCCGCTGCGAACCCCTCGCCACCCGTCGTCCGCGTCTTTCGGGCGCTTTTACGGCGAAAATGGGGCGAAAAATGTCGTGAAAAGCGGCGAAACAATGGAAACAAAAGAACCAAATGTTGGGAAAAGTGATTGACGTCTGAATTGACGGCAAAAAGGGATAAAAAGCGCGGAATCGCGAAAACGGTTTCATTTTTGGCCCAAAACTCGCGGAAAGAATGTCCAAAAGCTCTGTATTTCTGGCGCTCGTCTTTGCGGTCACTTTGGCTGTCATTGAATGCCAACAGTGCAACACTGGCTGCGACTGTCAGTGTCTGTGCGGCGGCGCGGGAGGCGGTGGCGGAGGAGGCGGCGGCGGCGGTGGTGGTGGCGGCGGCGGCGGAGGAGGTCTTTATATATATATATCTCTGTGAACCCCTTCTAACCCTTTCTCCCACAGGCACCACGATGTGTACGATGTGTCCGCCCAGTGGGTCCCCTCCCGGCAGTCCCCCCGCGACTCCGGGCGGCGCCACCTCCGACTGCGATAACATGATTCGCGCGGCGGCGACCGCCTACACGAGCGTCGGCGCCATTCTCGGCGCTGTTCTCCAGACTCTGCTCTCGGAACTCGTGATTCCCATTCTTGCGATCGTCCTCTTCGGCGACAACACCGTCGAGGGCGCAGTCATTCCGCTGACCAACACTTTGTGTTATATCGTGGGTCTGGTTCTGCTTCTGCTGCAGAATCTGCGACTCCTCGGACTTCTGGGAATGGGAGGACTCTTGAGTAGTCTCACGACTGGAATCACCGGAAAATAAGACACTTTTTTGCCACTCTTTAGCCTTTTTTGTACAGTTTTACAGTATTTCATGTTTTGCTACTTTTTGTAAATATTTTTGGGTTTCAATAAAATAACATTTGTTTTACTTTTACTCTAAATTATTTGCTATTATTTTGAGTCCAATATTACTATAGAAATACGAGAATTGTTTTATTGAGAAATTATAATTAATAAAAGACTGCATTTCCACAGAATTTGCCGAAAATACGTTTTTTTTGAACTCATTTTGGGGTCAAAAGTGAAAACAGATTTCGAAACAAAAAAAATGTTTTTCTTTTCATTTCGTTTGATTGACGGCTCAAAAGACGAGAGTTTTGTTTCCAAAAGTGTTCCCAAAAAAGGTATAAAAAGAGCGAAATTCGCGAAAAAGTCTTCATTTCTTTGAGAATTCAGACGAAATGGTTTCCAAAGCTCTGCTTTCGTGTAGTCTTCTCTTCGCGTCGCTCTTAGTCTTTGCCAACGCGTGGAGTAGTGGCGGAGGAGGTCTTCAAAGCCCGACTATATTTCCCTTTTCTAACCCTTCTCTCCCTCCCCGTAGGCGGCGGTGGCGGTGGCGGACCCGCGCCCGGCACTCCCGGAGGACCAGGTTTGCACTCTTGACAATGAAAGCCGTGTTTAACTCTTTTGTGTTTGTTTAGGCGGACCGGGAGGACCTGGTATTCACTCTTTGCTCCATTTCTCACTCTCCTAATCCCTTTCCTCTCTCCACAGGCGGTCCCGGAGGTCCCGGCGGTCCCGGTAAGTGTTGAACACATTTTTCCCGACATTTTTCACCCCTTTTTGTCTCACAGGAGGTCCCGGCGGTCCTGGAGGTCCAGGTATGTGTCTTATAGACTCTCTCACACCAACCCTTACACCTAACCCCTCTCTCGCCCCACAGGCGGTCCCCCGACGTGTCCGGCCAACAACGCGGGTCCCTGTCAGTGTCTGTGCAACTGCACCGGCTCCGGAGGCAACACTCCCCCCGGCGGCACTCCTCCCGGCGGAACCCCACCTGGCGGAAGCACCCCCGTCTGTCCCACGTGCTCGCCACCGCCCGGAACACCCCCCGGAACGCCTCCCGGAACCCCGCCTTCAGTGCCCTCGCAGTGCGATGACATGATCCGAATGGCTGCCATGACTTTCACCAATTTGGGCGCCATTTTGGGCGAAATCCTTCGCGCAGTTCTCTCGCAACTCGTGATCCCTATCCTCTCCATTATCCTGTTCGGCGACAACACCATCGAAGGCGCCGTCATTCCGCTCACGAATGTCCTCTGCTATATCCTGGGACTCGTTCTGCTTCTCCTGCAGAACATCCGCGCTCTCGGACTCCTCGGTCCGGGCGGTCTTTTGGCCACTCTTTTGACCGGAATCACCGGTTAATCACTTTTAATAAGCGTTTATGAAAAGTAGCAAAACTGTACACAAAATACTGTAAAAACTGTAAATATTTATTTATTTTGGGGTTTTTTTTAAATATATTTGTTTTTGAAATAAAATTCATTTTTGAGAATCAATTCCTTTTCCGTTCATTTCATTCAAACATTTGTTTCCAAGAATTGAGTTTTCAATAGAAAAATGAGAGAAAACTCGTATCGAAAACAGAGAGCGAAAAGTGTTCCCAAAAATGGGATCAAAAACCGAATTAAAAAATGTTTTCTTTTGACAGAAAAACAAAAAACAACTGTTTTTGCGAACAAAAGCCGAAAACAAAAGGCGTTTCGAAACAAAAGAGCTTTCGGTCGGAAAAAGGGATAAAAAGTGGATTCAAAGCGAAATTGAAGTCATTTTTAGACTTTTTTTTGGAGAAATGTTTGCAAAAACGCTTTCGCTTGCAATCATAGCTCTGAGTGCGGTCTCTTTGGTGAGCGCCGCCTGCAACTGCAATTGTCCCGGTGGACAGCCTGGACCCACCCCCGCGCCGGGGCCCACCATGACGCCCTGTCCCACGTGTGCGCCGCCCAGTTCGCCGACACCGCCCGGCCCAACGCCGCCCAGTTCGACGGGCAACGGGACGATTTCGGGTCCGTGCGAAACGGCCGTCCGGTCGGTGGCCGCCGTTTCGGGCATGAATCCCGGCGCTCTTCTGGGTCTCGTGTTGTCGTACCTGTTGTCGAATCTCGTGATTCCGATTCTGGCGATCGTTTTGAGCGGAAACAACACTCTCGACGGCGCAGTCCTTCCGCTGGCGAACGTCTTGTGTACTCTCGTCGGTCTCATTCTCCTCCTATTGCGCTCTTTGGGACTCTTGGGTCTCTTGGGAAGTGGAGGGCTGTTGGGCAACCTTTTGGCCGGACTCACCGGTTAATGGCTTAAAGGCTTTTCGGCAGAAATAAAGAGAGAAAAAGAGATTTTCTTTGGGTTTTCATTCTATACTTATTTTGTAATAAATTTTGTATTTATTTTGTTTTGTATTTAATATTCAATAAAAGAATTAATTAATGTTTTAAACGCTATTTGTGTTCATTTGCGGTGAAAAAAGAGGCGAAAAGAGACTGAAATTCGTGCGAAAAGAGGGGAGGAAACGGAGGCAAAGATGTGTTCCGTTTGGACGCCATCTTCGGAGTCATTGTTCTCTTCTTTGACACCATTTGTGGCAAAAAACAAATGTTTTTTCGAAACAAAAGAACTTTTGGTCGAAAAAAGGTATAAATAGTGGAGAAAAACGAATCGAAAGTCATTTCAAATTCAGTTTTTTCGCGAAATGTCTTTCAAAGCAACTCTTGTTTTGCTTTCGTTAAGCGCTTCCCAAGTGTTTGCCTGGGGAGGCGGTGGAGGACACGGCGGCGGTGGTGGCGGCACTCCCTGGGCCTGGGTCTACCCGGACGACTTGGGGCCGCCGGGAGGCATTCCCCCCGGAAGTCAACGTAAGCACAGGTAGACTAAAGACCGCAATAACTTTTGTCTCCCAACAGCCACCCCTGCGCCCACCCCTGCGCCCACCCCTGCGCCCAACCCGACGGGACCCCCGGCGCCCGGCCAGTGCGACAACTGCAACTGTAACTGCGACTGCACGGGCGGCAGCGGAGGCGGCGGCGGAGGGGGTGGAGGCGGCGGCAATGGCCAGGGACCCGTTTGTCCGACGTGTCCGCCGCCCGTGACTCCGCCCCCCGGGATGACGCAAACCCCCGCCCCGGTGACTCCGGCGCCGCAATCGGGACAATGCCAGCAAATGATAACAACGGCGTTCGCCACGTACACCACTTTGGGCGCCATTGTGGGCGCAATTCTGAACGAAGTTCTCTCGAAACTCGTGATTCCGATCCTCTATATCGTGCTCTTCGGCGACAACACCGTCGAGGGCGCCGTTATTCCGCTCACAATCGAGCTCTGCTACATCCTGGGCCTCGTCCTCATTCTGCTGCAAAACATCGGCGCTCTCGGACTCCTGGGTCCCGGAGGACTGCTCGGCAACGTCTTGGGAGGCGTCACGGGATAATCAACGCATAAATAAAAGTCTCTTTTCGTCTCTTTTTCTCTCTTTTACTCTCTTTTTGGGGTTTTTTTCATTCAATAAACAAAACATTAATTAATTGTAAAAACGATTCAATCGTTCGTTAAAATGATGCCTAAAATCACGTGTAAATCAAAGGAACCGGAAATCGACAAAAAGACGTCCAAAACGTGTTTCGCGCGGATTATTGGACACGAATTGTAAACGACGGCAGCCGTCAAAGGGATCGGCAGAAGAATCACTTCCGTGGCCACAGTGTGCGCGCCGACCGTCGGACCCATTGATTTCGCGATCTTCTCATCGCTTCTCCGTTTCGATCCGTTCGCGAAAAAGTCCACTTCTTGGCGCAGAGTTGCCATCAATTGCATCGCTTTCTTCGACCGGTTGTCCACAAAGCACGTGATCTGAAGGGTGGAGCCGACGGCGTGTCCCGTGCGCGCGATCTCTGCCCTCAGACTCAACGGCTGTCCGCCGAACAAACCGACCGTTTTCTGCGCGCTATTCACGGCCGGCATCTACGGGAAGAGCGGCGGTTAGAGACGCGAAGAGTCGCGCGACACGACTTACGGCCAACTCCTGGGGCGACGCGAGCGCCGGCGCTCGGATTTGGAGCGGAAGTCGAGTTCTTTCGTCGAACGCGAAGAACGCCGTCTTCCGGATATGCGCTTCAATCCAATACCGAATGTGACCGTAAGTCGACTCGAAGGACGAGGGAAGGGCTCTGTGGGGGCAAAGGGGGGGTCAGAGGAGGCGAGAGAGCGAACGAAAGGCAAACCCGAGCGGAAGTTGGAAATTGAAGCCAATGTTGTGCTGACCGCCGGAAAGCGTCGACGGATACACTGTTGGAGACGGGGTTTAGAGCTTTGTTCGGCTGAAGGCAAGGAATACCGTTTCCGGGACAGTAGACGAGGTCGACGCACGTGTGCTTCGCGTGATGGCGAACCGTTTCGGTGCGCGTCTGGTTGTGGTCGTGATGGTGATGGTTGTGACTTTGTTTGGCGGAAGGCAAGGAATACCGTTTCCGGGACAGTAGACGAGGTCGACGCACGTGTGCTTCGCGTGATGGCGAACCGTTTCGGTGCGCGTCTGGTTGTGGTCGTGATGGTGATGGTTGTGATCGGATCCGTGGTTTCCGTGGCTTTGGTGCGCAGCGACAGTCTTCTGCTCCGTCCACTCGCACTCCGCCTCTCCCTTCAAAGTGATGGTCAGTTGACTCAAATGCATGTCTCCGTCCAACGCGAGCACACACTGACCGCTCACCACTTCGGACGCGCGATAGACGGCCGCCGGTCTGTCCAACACGAGCGCAAAGGTCCGCACTTTGAGTCCCATCGCAAAAGTGGCCAAAACTCTCACTTTAGACGCAATTTGAGAGAAAACAGTGATTTTTCCACAAAAGGCCTCAAAATAAACACTTTTTATGAAATAATATGACTTATATTACAAGTTATGTAACATTTATTGCATTGTTATCTCATTTACTATTCATTACTGATTGCATGTGTAATACGGTATTACTAATACCTGTCGCAAGCCTTACGCCCCTACAGTTCCGGTGCCGACATCTGGCGTCGCGAATGACAACCAAAAACAGTTAACTCGGATGAGAGGGTGCGAGCGGTGGCCAGAGATGGCAGCACTCATGCCGTGAGAGGCAATTGCAGTGCAATCCCGGTATTGATGGCAATCTTCATGCGATATATTGTGACTGATTGTGGACTTGGAGTGCAATAAACGACTTCTCTATGGAGACAGCGATCAAAGCGTTTGCAATGACAGAGCGTTTCTGTCGCTTAAGTGACGACTCATTCACTCAATGCATGACTCGTCAGAAGTGGAGTTCGACTGCAAGTCATGTCACGTGTGTTGGAGGGAAGAGGGGTTGGAGTGAAGAGGTATTGACTATTGAGTCATAAATGAGAGAATTTGTAGTCAAATATGACATCCGTTTGAAGCCGTGATTGAGCGCATAATCGGCGGCCAAATGTGGAGCAAAGGCCTCAACGACTCGTTTTCGGCCATTTCTGGTCACATCTCGACTCTCAAGCAGTCCGTCAATCAGTCGCTCATCGGTAAGGACTCGGTGTCTGTCCGCTCACTCCTCTCACTCCTCTGACTCCCTGTCCTCTCTGTGTAGGCGCCGACGCGACGGACGCGGCTTCGGCAGAGCGGAGACGACTGGTGGCCGAAGTGGCGCTCCTGCGACGCGAAGTGCGCCGACACCGCCGCCGGGAGGCCTCACCGCCCGCACAGGTAGGCTGTGGGAACGGGAGGGCGACTGCGCGACACCTGTGTCTAAAGTACAGGTGTTTGGCGTTTCAATAATGAGTTGTGTTTTGAATGGAAAACAAGTGTTTTTTGAAACGAGTTTTCAAAAGATTTGTCGTCTTCTGGCAGAGCGTGACTCCGCCGCCACCGCCCTTCCGTCCGTTGGGGGCGTGTCTGCGGCTAATGAGCGCTAATTGGCTGTAATTGCGGACTCGGACTCCGCCCCCAAAGCTCTCACTAACGCTAACAGTCTGTGTCTCGCGACAGGACTTCAGAGACGTCGCGCTCGACGACGAGGGCGATGGAGAGGACGACGACCCGCACGACGACGACGACGAGTGGTCGGCAGAGGCCGAGCGTCTGCTGGCAGTGGAGGCCGAGCTCGAGAAGACGCGCGTCGATAGAGAGCACTGGCGAGCGTTGGCCAAAGACGAGGTCTGTTTGCAATGCGAATGCAATTCGAGCCGCGATTAAGCGCTAACTCATTGAAAGTCACGTTCCGTTGAGGTATGCGTTGCGCGCACTTTGCTCTTCCTGTGAAACCCGAGCCCTCTCTCCCTCTCGCGCCCCATATCTGCGCCCATATTGTTAGCGAACGTGACGTTCAGAGGATTTGAATTTCACTTCATTTGCTTCTCGACTCTCTCAGCGATTGTCGTCTCGAGGCGAGTGTTGTTATCGCGCGACTCCTATCTTATCGCAGATTTCATAATTCTTGAGTAAAAAACACCCGAAATGTCAACAAAAGACCAGTTTTTGAGCGAAAACCGCAACAAAACTGCTTTTGTTTGTTTGCCGGCGATTAGAGAGCAAATATTGGTCTTTGTTTGAGAGCTGCAGGTGCTCTCAGACGTCTCCCTCTCGCTCTGCGCTCATCTCTATAGAGACGTGAGATTTATGCCATTTTTCGGGCGTTTTCTCTCTCTTTAGACGAAATGTCGCGAACTGTCGTCCGATTGTCGTCTCAGAGACGACACAATCCAACAATTGGAGCGACAGTTGGAGGAACTGGACGCTCAGCACGAGCAGGCGCTCGACAAAGTGCTCGAACTCAAGCGCCGGCTCGAGCTCTCCAACGACGGCCTCACGAGACGCGTGCATGAGTTGGAGGCGCGGCTCGAGTCGCGCGACGACAAAGAGGACGACGACCGCCAGTCGATGACGTCATCTCTCGCGGGCGACGGGAAGCGCGAGGAGCCGGAGGGCGCGCCTCTGGACGAGAGCGCCGCCCAGGACTGCGACTCGGCGGAGACGCGACTGCAGGCGCTGTTGGACGCGAAGACGCGGGAGGCGCAGGAGTGGGAGTCGCGCATGAAGGCCGCCGACGACGAACGCCAACGACTGATCGTAAGTGTCGTCTCTGTTGTCGTCTTTTGTCTGACTTCTGTTTCAGTCGCGACAGAAGGAGATGGAGGCGCTGTTGGCGGACAGGGAGGCGCTGAAGAGCGCGCTTCAGGAGAAGGAGTTGTCGGCGGAGAGAATGCGCAGAGATTACGACCACTTGTTGCGCGAGAACCGGCGTCTGGGAGAGGAGGTCGGGCGGCGCGCCCCCCATTCGGCGGAGGAGGCGTTGCGAAGGATGGAGGAGACGGTGCGCGCGAAGGAGCGCGAGTTGACGGAGTGGAGGGCGCGCGCGGAGGACTCGGAGGTGGAGCGCATGCGCGCGGAGTTGTCGCGACTGAAAGAGCATTTGGTTTGCATTGAAGAGAATTATACGCAAGAATTGGTTTCCGCCGCCGAGAGAGTGGAGAGTCTGCGCCGAGAAGTGGCTGCGGGAGAGCGCATGCGCGAAGAGCTGCTGACCGCTGACCAGAGGCGCGACGACGAGACGCGCGCTTTGCGGACGGAGCGCGAGATGGCGCGCAACGAGGCGTCGCGTCTCGAGGACAAAGTGCAACAATACTCGGCTTCCGTTTCCAATCTCCAGCTCGTCGTCGAACACATCCAAAGAGGTAGACATCGGGAGAGAGAGGAGAGAGTATTGACAGTGACTTCGTTGCAGAGAACGAGCGGAAGGCGCGGGAGGCGGAGCGACGCGCGGAGGAGGCGTTGGCTGCGGAGAGGAGGCGCACGGCGGAGGCGTTGGAGGGAATGCGTCGACAGGAGGCGCGCGTCTTAGAGGCGGCGGAGGCGTTGTCTGCGGCGTCGCGTCTCTCGGAATCGCTGGACGCGAAGGAGGCGACGATCGAAGCGCTTCGAGCGGACGGTAAGCTTTTGTGGGTTTTGTGGAGTCATCCAAATGACTGGCATTTCCAGAAGTGGTGGTCTTTTGGTCTAATCTCATTTGGTAACTCTGGGTGACGTCATCTCAGGTTATCATTTGGGATCAGATCAAAGCCTCCGAACGCCGCACAAAGCATGAGGTCTTCCAGTCGTCTGTCCGGCGCTCAGGGACTGAGTATTACATCAGGTACTGGTGCCCAAAGTCGATATCCAGTGCCAAATGTAACGACTCCTTCCCTGCGCCGCCATTTCCGCCGCAACTCCACCCGTCTCGCCTTCGCACCACTAATTGCGTGACCTTTGACCCCAAGGCCGACGCCACGACGCTCTGGTAGCCGACCTGCGCGCGCAGATGGCGTCTCTTGTGACGTCATCGGAGGGAAAGGTCGACAAACAGATCATCAAAAGCCTAATAATCGGGTATTTCGTGACTCCTGAGGACAAGCGCGCGGAAGTTCAGCGACTTTTGGCGCGTTTTCTCGACTTTAATCAGCAGGAAATGGACAGAACGCGCATCGAAATCGGCCGCAAACGCCCGAACGGTAGCCAATCAGCGCTCTGCAAACACAATCACTTATCATGCCTTTCCTGACAGAGCCGTCCGACTCGTTGTCCCTGAAGTTCGTCCAATTCCTCGAACAGGAGTCGAAACGCGACTCGCATTCCGCGCCGACCGCCGGAAGCGCCAAAGCGGACGTTACTCGCGATCTATCGAAAAGTCTGATCCAAAGCTCGCAACGAATGAATCCATTCCTCACTTCAATGTCGACTCCAATGACGCCATCTCTCGGTTCGCGCCACTCGTCCGCCAACTCGTCGTCCGATAATCTCAACCAACTCCTGATGGCGCCGGCAGTCGCGCCCTTCGCTCCACT